AGTCACGGAGACTTGTGGTGAAGTTGCTAAAAGCCTGAGATGAAGTCAAGAAAGACTGTGGTGAAGTCACTGAAGCCTATGCTGATGTCGCTGGAGCCGTTGGCGAAGTCACGGAAGCCTGTGCTTAAGTCACGGAGGCCTATGGTGAATTCATTGAAGCCTGTGGTGAAGGCATTGAAGCGTATGGTGAAGTTACCGAAGCCTGTGGTGAAGTCACGGAAGCCTATGGTGAAGTCGCTGAAGTCTGTGACGAAGTTACTAAAGCCTGTGGTGAAGTCACGGAAGCTCGTGGTAAAGTAACCAAAAAGCCTGAGATGAGGTCACGAAAAACTGTGGTGAAGTCACTGAAGCCTATGGTGACGTCGCTGGAGCCACGGCGAAGTCACGGAATCCTGCGCTAAAGTCAGGCAAGCCTATGGTGAAGTCATTGAAGCCTGTGGTGCAGACATTGGTGAGTATGGTGAAGTTATTGCAGCCTGTGGTGAAGTCACTGAAGCCTGTGAATAAGTCACTAAAGCCTTGGAAGTGAAGTAGCAGCCTGCGCGTTTTCAGTTCAGGACCCTCTAAAAGGAAGTAACCAAACGACCGCTCACCACCCGGGAGCTCTTAGAACCGCGTATCATACACGACTTTTGTAAGCGCTGAGTTGTGCAGCACTGTGCTCTTCCTTCAAGCACATCTGACACGGAACCAGACCACAGACCTTATCCCCTGCCGGTGGCACTCCGCCGCGTCCTTCTGGACAGCCTCGGATTATAAATGTCTCAAACTATTTCAGCCTCACACTGTGGGAACCACTCTCGGGAACGGCCTCTCGACCCGCTGCCCAACTCTGATCGAGTTTTAAATCGGTCCGCATGTGGCCGGACCGGAAAATCACAGGACGTGCCGGCAAGCTGACGCTTCCGGCGCTCCTGAAGCTCAGCGCCGCCAGGTGACACGCGGGCGTGCCCCCCCCCCCCCCCACCACTGACTCCTGTGCGTGGTCCCACCTCTCTTCTAGCGCGCAGCCTGAGTCTCGTCTGGACGCGCTAGTCGGTCCTGGCTGTCTGATGCTGTCTCGCAGTGTCCTGGCCCTTTCCCTGCGTATTCTCACCCCCCCCCCCCTCCCCTCCTCCATAGTGCGCCATCCGCACGCCACCAGTGAATTTTCAGCGCACTCCCGGTGCACTTCTTACTTTTTCAGTGCGCTGTCTGACTTCTCTCCGGTGAGACGTCTGGTGCTCAGCCGCCACCAGTGCACTGGGTGCCCTCTTCATCGGCTGTCTGGCCATCCCCAGCGCTCTAACTAGCCCCTCTCCCAGTGGTTCGTCCATTCCAGCCCTGCAGTGAACCCTGCCACTGTTTTCCTATCCTAAGTGACCGGTAGTGAATGTCTGTTTTTCCTCTGCTTTACGGCAGATAAGTCACATTTACAAGCCCTCCAGAATGGGTTGCCAAAAGCTCACAGTAGGCTTTTTATCCTAGAAACGGACGTCTGTTTTATTACGCGTATGTCTGCCGGTAACAGGGCAAAGGTACGAAAAAGCCCATCATAAAGTCGCCACGGTCCCCGAAGGTTTTTGTATGACAGTGCTCTCGGATTGGCCGGACCCACCCCCTTCGCCTGTTTAGTGCTGGACGGGCTTGGCCGTGCTCGAAATGGTCCAACAAAGCGGAATCCCCCGTGAATATAGGCCCGCGCGCCGGCCAGATGGTGGCTCGAGGTGCGGACATGCGAAATACGCTGGGCCCGTCGCGGGAGACGCGCCGGCCATTTCATCGTGTGTCGGCTCCAGGTTGTTTACACTCCCCCACACTAAGGCGGGAAACGGTTAATCCTTATCTTAAATAACAGAGCTTTAAAGCGCATGACAAGCCAGCGTGAAGACGTCTTGTCGCTAAGAACCGCACTTATTTCGCCGAAACGGCTTCAATAAAGTCGCTTTAGCGCCCACTAAAGACGGTTTTATTGTTTTAATACGACTGCAGACGAAGTTTGCTGTGAAATGATAAGGCCACTGAAATGGTAGCCCATTAACGTGCTGTCACCGTCTGGCCGGCACGTGGCCGGCTGCGGCGCTCTGGGCGTGACAGGCACGTGGCGCGAGCTGGCACGTGCATGACCCTGGCCCCTTCGTGGCAGCTTTGCAAGTGACGGGCAAGGGACGTAGCTCTCGCCCCATTTCCGTAGCGCTCCACAACGTGGACCTCAACGCCAGGGCACTCATTTCCCGGTATGAGGCTGACATCCTTGCTGTAACCGAGCAGAAAAATCAACGTTCGTCTTGACGTATAGCAGTGCAGCATGTCACCAACCGACTAGTGCGATGAGGTGATACTCTCGGGCTGCCTTGCGCCAGTGGTATATTTGCTTCAGTGCGCTCGTCAGCACGGACGCCCTGGGCGCAGTCGGCGGAACTCGACTCATTACATGAACGGAGCCGTCCGAGCGTGTGCACGAAGTCCTGCAACTGGGGGCCCAGGTTTAGATCACGGAAGCCTGCTCGCTGACGAATGGAGCCCAACTGGCAGCATTCGCACCGATGCCGTCACAGCGACAGTTCAGCGCCAAAGCCAATGCTCCTACTCCGTGGAGGGGTGCAAGCAGAGGAAGTCACCGCCTGAATCCTCAGAACAATGACCACGTCTACGTATACAAACACGTTAACAAAAAAATGCAACCAGAGTGCTCACAGTCCTATCGCATGAAGGCCGCTCCCCAAATCGGTACCCTCCGCAGTCGCACTCACAATGAACCCGCGCGGGTCTCCAACGCAGCGAGGTTCTCCGGCCGCCCGACAGACTCAGCTCAGGTCGAGCCGCACTGCCGCCGGCGCCGGTCACCCCCGCCGCGGTGGCGTCAGTGCCGGACACATTTGCGGCACGTGGCCGGTAACGAGCCCGGCTGTCAGCGCGCTTCCTGGCCGCCCACTGCAGCTCCATTAGCAAAGGCGGCCGCCGGGGGCGATACAGGTCGCCGTGCCCCTCCGCTGTCCGCGAGGTACTAATTAAAGGCAAAAACGCTGGCCGAGCGGCCCCCTCCGACCCCAAGCATTACATAATGCCTCCCCTCTTTCGTGTCATCATTATTGGATTTTATCGTTCGTCTTTAATGCAAAAATATAATAGCTTCTCGTTAAAATCGTGGTCTCCGTCGTAAATAGCTGATATATGAGTCACAATTATCGTAACGCATACACCTTACAATAAGCATCTGAAGGGCATTCTTTCAATGATTCTATAGCTATCGCAATGCGAGGCTGGAATCGTTAATGGGTTCGGAAGAGTTATGCGAGGAGGTGCCTGGCATTTAAATGCAGTGGAAGTGGCGGAAATAAACAGAATTTCCTGGACGAAAGTCATCAAAGTAATGCACAGCCAACCTTCCACCCCTCTCTGTTATTGCAGTGTCCCCTGCCCTCTAGTTTACCATAGCCAATTACACACTTCCAATTACCTGACTTATGAATGTTTGGAGAGATGATTGGTTTATAGGTTTTCCTCTCACAAACGATCGCGGCGCTGCCGCAGAAGCGGCCGGTCTCGCTGCAGCGAGAAAAGCACACTTACCGCACCGGCTTGTTAGGCCGGTTCGCAATACCAACCGCTCCCCGTGTAGCGACAGTAATGGCGCAGACGTGACATAAATGGCGCACGCTGAACGCAGCGAATTAGCGGAGCTGGTCGGCCGGTAAACACGGCCTGGTAGCGTGGACCTCGCCCGGACGGCCCCACAGCGGGCCGAAACGCCTCGCTCGCTCAACTCTGTAGATTCATCACCCAAAAATGAGCTTATACGCTTCCGCCTCAAGGTGCGCTATGCTGCAACAGTCTAGCTTGCTTAATTTGGCCGGCGCCCTGGCAAGCTGTAAGTAATTATGGCGCGGAATTCAATTAGTGCGCCGTGTACGGCAGCGTTGAACGTTTGCCTAATTGCCGTTCGTTTGACAGTGTTACTTGCGTGCGAATGTGATCGTCCTGAATGGCGTGATCAATGGCTTTACGCTAATTACCGCCGCCTTCGCTTCTCATGTATAGATTTATGGAAGTGATCAGCGCAAAGCTGTCTCCTCACTTGAAATCACTGCCTGCGTGCAAACTTCTTGGTGTGTATGCTGGTCGTAATTGGAAAGTCACGGGGTCCATAAATATTGGTAACCATAATGCTGTTGTCGCGGTTACACTAAATCAAGCCATGATGTGGTGCTTGAATAGCCCTTACCACAGGTACGCAGTGTACGTTCAAACGCTGGAACTTGCGGTATATCCGAAACCACTCCCGTCGGCCATATGTTTTTCCGCTCCTTTCCAACGCTTCTCATTTCCTAACCTCATTCCAATATCCACACCTCATTTTCCATTTCCACTACCTGCACTTTACCCTCGCCACCTATTCCTCGCTCACCTAGTTTGGTCCCCGCCACCCCCACCCCATCCCCCTCTCTCCCTCTCTCTCTCTCTCTCTCTCCCTCTCTCTCCCTCTCATTTTCTCTTCCTCTCTTTCTTTCTCTCTCCCCATCTCTCTCCATCTCTCTCTCTCTCTCTCTCTCTCCTCTCTCCTCTCTCCTCTCCTCTCCTTCTTCTCTCTCTCCCTCTCTCCTCCCTCTCTCTCCTCTCTCCTCCCTCCTCTCTCCTCCTCTCTCTCCTCTCCTCTCTCTCTCCTCTCTCTCTCTCTCTCTCTCTCCTCTCTCTCTCTCTCTCTCTCTCTCCTCTCTCCTCTCTCTCTCTCCCTCTCTCTCTCTCTCTCTCACTTTTCTCTCTCACTTTTCTCATCTCTCTATCTCTCTCTCTGCACTCTCTCACTCGTCGTTCAGGTCCCCGTTCCTCATCCCGCTCACCTCGCCTTATATTCCTTTACACCCGTTCCCGCACCCCATGGAAAGATCTCCTCTCTCTCTCCTCCGCACTACCATCCCCAATCCCAACTGGCGCATGCGACTCCCCGCTCCCAGCTCCTGCCCCACCGTGGCGCCGGTCGGCAGCATCCCTGGCGAGAATAAAGGTGTGCGACGCTTCAGTTCCAGGCCGGGCCGCCCCCCGAAGCGCGCTCCGGGCTTCGCCATGACGCCCTCGCCGGACGCGCTGATGAAGCTGAAGCAGGCACGCATGGAGAACGGCGGCGACTACTTCGAGAACGGCCACATCCGAGGTGAGGCCGGTGGGAGGCGGGAGGCGGGAGGGGCGTTGGAAGGGTACTGGGGAGGATGGAAGGATCGGTACCACCGACCGGTACTGTGACGCATCAGTGATGGCTCGATGCGAATAATGGTGGTGGTCTCTGTGATGGCTCGTGCAAATATAGTGTGCGTGTGGCGGCAGACAACATGAGGGTGAGGTGCGGGGGGGGGGGGGAGGGGAGGGGGAGGGATCTCCGTGGGCAGGGCAAACGCTCATTGACGATTTGCCGAGATAGAAGTGCCGTCAAGTACGTCTGGGCTGGGTTATGAGGCGCGGCTCAGTGGTTTGCACATATATTTTAGAGGAAGTCAAACATGAAAAGTGAATGTAAACGGCAGCATACTCAAGTGCTTTGCAAACATGGTGTCACTTGTCTTGAAAATAACTGTATCGTTGAAAACTAAAATAGCACAGGTCTATCCTCAAAGTCAGCAAA